GACAACCCTCAGAATGGAAGAAAATATTTGCAAACAAATCAACGGAGAAAGGATTAATCTCCAAAATATATAAAGAGCTCACACAGCTCAATATTAAAAAAATAAACAACCCAATCCAAAAGTGGGCAGAAGACCTAAATAGACATTTCTCCAAAGAAGACAAACAGATGGCCAAGAAGCACATGAAAAGCTGCTCAACATCACTAATTATTAGAGAAATGCAAATCAAATCTACAATGAGGTATCACCTCACACCAGTTAGAATGGGCATCATCAGAAAATCTACAAAAAACAAATGCTGGAGAGGGTGTTGAGAAAAGGGAACCCTCTTGTACTGTTGGTGGGAATGTAAATTGATACAGCTACAATGGAGAACAGTATGGAGGTTCCTTAAAAAACTAAAAATAGAATGACCCAGCAATCCCACTACTGGGCATACACCCTGAGAAAACCATAATTCAAAAAGACACATGTACCCCAATGTTCATTGCAGCACTATTTACAATAGCCAGGACATGGAAGCAACCTAAATGCCCATCGACAGATGAATGGATGAAGAAGATGTGGTACATATATACAATGGAATATTACTCAGCCATAAAAAAGAACGAAATTGGGTCATTTGTAGAGACGTGGATGGATCTAGAGACTGTCATACAGAGTGAAGTAAGTCAGAAAGAGAAAAACAAATGTCATATATTAACGCATATATGTGGAACCTAGATAAATGGTACAGATGAACCAGTATGCAAGGCAGAAATTGAGACACAGATGCAGAGAACAAATGTATGGACACCAAGGGGGCAAAGTGGCAGGGGTGTGTGTGTGTGTGTGTGTGTGTGTGTGTGTGTGTGTGTGTGTGTGTGTGTGTGATGAATTGGGAGATTGGGATTGACATGTATACACTGATATGTATAAAATGGATGACTAATAAGAACCTGCTGTATAAATAAATAAATAAAATTCAAAATAAAAATACATAGTGACTCTACCTCCAGTATTGCTTTTGGCCTCAAAGTCTTTTTTGTCCAGTATCAATACAGGTCTGCCAGTTTTTTTCTAGCTATTATGGTGTGTGTTTTCTAAACCTTTTACTTTCGAACTATCTGTACCTTTATGTTTTAGGAATGCGTCTTTCAAAAGTACATACCTGAATTCTAAAACCAGTCTGACAATCCATATTAGCTGAAACATTGGTTCATTTGTAATTATTTCTACCTTCTTTTGTGCCTTTACTTGTCCCACCTTTTCTAAACTTTTCTCTACCTCTCTTGCTATGTTTGGATTATTTTTTTCAGTTAATTTTTCTCTCTACTAGTTCGAAAGGTTTACCTTCTGTTTCTATTTTTATGATAGAAGCATTAAGTTACATTAGTTAACTTAGTGTACTTAACTAACACAAACTCCAAACACTCCATCCTAATCTATAAGCTTTGTTATCCAATACTTTAGTTCCATCTTTTTGGGGGGAAGGAGGGGCTGGTGATTCACTTTATTTTTTTTAAACTTTTTATTTTGAACTAATTTCAGACTAACAGAAAAGTTGCAAGAAGAGTACTAAGAATTCCCTTCACCCAGATTCCCTAAATATTAATATTTTACCGAGTTTGCTTGCATCATTCTCTTTCTCACTCTTTCACGTACATATACATACATGTTATTTTTTCAGAACCTTTTGAGAGCATGTTACAAACATGATGCCCTTTTGGTTCTAAATATTTCACTGTTCATTTCCTAAAATCCAAAGACATTATCTTATAAAACTATAGTATAGTGAGTAAAATCAGGAAATTAGCAATGATACAACGCTATTACCTAGCCTGCAGATCTAATTCAAATTTTGCTGATTGACCTAATAATGTCCTGTGAGGGCGGGCTTGGGGGGGGGCCACATTTCTGTGGTCCAGGATCCAATCTAGGTTTATACATTGAATTTAGTCATCTTGTTTCATTAATCACCTTTAATTTGAATAGCTCTTCACTCTTTTTCTTTGTCTTTTGAGAACTTGACATTTTAGAAGAATAGTATGTCTCTCAGTTTGGGTCTGTATTATGTTGCCTCGGATTTGGGCCATGCCTTTTTGGCCGGAATGCTAGAGAAGTGATGTGGCACCCTCCTCAGGGTGCTGCATCAGAACTCATGTGATGCTGACTGGTTGCTTGGTTAAGGGAGTATCTGCCAGGTTTCTCCACTACCTTTCCCTCTGTAATGAATAAGTATTTTGTGGCCCAATACACTAGTCATTATTATTATTCTTTTAATTAATCAAATTTTATCTACATTTGCCCATACTTTACTAGTTTATTTATTTTTAAAAACATTTTATTTATTTATGGCTGCATTGGGTCTTCGCTGCTATGTGTGGGCCCTTTCCAGTTGTGGCGAGCCGAGGCCACTCCCTGCCACAGTGCGTGGGCCTCTCATTGTGGTGGCCTCTCCTGTTGCAAAGCATGGGCTCTAGGTGCACGGGCTTCAGTGGTTGTGGCTCATGGGCCTAGCTGCTCCGTGGCATGTGGGATCTTCCCGGACCAGGGCTCAAACCTGTGTCCCCTGCATTGGCAGGCAGATTCCCAACCACTGCGCCACCAGGGAAGCCCTTTACTAGTTTACTGATTCACCATTTCTTCTGGAATTTTAGATCTTGTATCTGGATCCCCTTCCTTCTGCCTAAACTATGTCTTTTAATATTTCCTTTAGTGAGGGCCTATTGGTGACAAATTCTCACAAGTTTCTATTTGTCTGAAAACACCTCTGTTTTTTTCCTCATTGTAGAAAGGTATCTTTACTGGATATACAGTTCTAAGTTAGTAGTTATTTACTCTAGAACACTGATGATAGTCCCCTGTTTTCTGGCTCCTATTACTACAGTTGGGAAGTGAGCTATCAGTTTAATTGCTACTTCAAGAGCAGTATGTCTTATTTCTCTCCTGTTTTAAGATTTTTCTCTTCGCCTGTGGTAGCATTACGGTGTGCCTAGGTGTGGATTTCTTTTTATTTATCCTAACTGGGATTTTTTGGCCTTTCCAAATCTGTGGTGTAGTGTCATTTTCACAAGTTCTGAAATTTGTTAGTAACTACCTCTTCAAACATTATGTCTGCCTCATTCTCTTCTTTCTCTCCCTTAGGAATTCTCATTATATTAAAATTAGATTTTATTACTCCATCCTTCATCTCTTTTAACTATTGTTAAGGGTTCCAGCTTGGGGCCCATGTTGCATTTTGCACCATTTCTTCACTTCTGTCTTCCAGCTCATCACTTCCCTACTCAGTTGTGTCAAATATGCTGTTAATTTCTTTCAGCATTATTAGTAGGTTTGACGCTGCTCTCTGTTGTTTCACCTAGCTCTATTTTGTTTTATCATGGGATTTGAGATTTTTGACTGTGAGCCAATATTTCTTGTAACTTTTCTTCTGGGACTCTGTTGAGTCCTGGATTGAAGGTGGATTTGTATTTGCTTCTGTCAGGCATCCAGGGCACTACCAATCCAGGCCCAATTTAAACTAAGTTTTGTGTATGTGGCTTTTGAGGACCATCCAGGAACTATGAAATCAGACTGGGAAGTATGTGCGAGGGTCAGTTTATTGTTATAAATTTTTAGGGAACTATGTTTTCCCCCTCCACTTAGCTTTGAGACTTGCTTTTTCTTTGTACTCTCGGAGAGTGTGGTGAGCAAATTCCTCATTTAGGGTCTCAGCTTTAGCCAGAAGTTTTCCTTCCTGTTCCCCTGTTTATACGAGTCCTAGGCTTTGTTTTTTTTGTCTTCTGCACCCCATTTGGTTATGAAAACCGAAGCTCAACGTCACTGGGTTCAGCAAACGCCCTCCAAGTGAGTCTTAGTTTCAGAGTTCTGCTTCATTCCCCGAGTTCCTGTTTTCACTCAGTTTATGGCCTCTGAGAAGTTCTTATGTATTTATTAAAAATATTTTAAAATATAATTTATCCAGCATGAAGCTCAATCAGAGCAACCAGTCCAAAACTGCTAGAAAAGAAAGTCTCTTTCATTTTACAGATGAGCAAACTGAGGTTCAGAAAAGCTAAGCATCCCAAAACCTAGAGAGTAAATAGTAAAGTTCGGATTGAACCCAGGCAGAGACACTGAAACCCGTATTTCAAAACTAAAGTCTAATTTACGCAAATTTAAGTCACATGAATTAATCTACATGTAGATTTGCAAATATCAACTTGGGTGTCCTAAAAGTGAAACATAAATCTCAAAATTGTTTCCTATTATACTCCTTGAGGAAGCAGGATGGAAAAAGAATTATATTAAAACTGCCTCCATTTTAATAAAGTTAAAAATACCTAATAAATATATACTGTATATGTACGTGTGTGTAAGTGTGAGTGTCTGTATGTGTGTGATCTTTGATGGTGGTGATCAGAAAATACCACAAATCACAAATGCCCAATGAGAACAATCTGAGACTGTCAGGTTTTGTTACAGTTTAAACAAATGAACTGAATTTTAATTCTCAGTGTGTAGTTATCACTATGTGCGGAAGAATATATAAATCATAGTGAAGACGCCCTATCTCCCCAGCCATCTAATTCTTCTTCCCAGGAGTAACCACTTTTAACAGTTTCTTCAGTAACTTTTAAACCATATTACATTTCCACAGCTGAGGAGACAAATGAACTTACCAATTCTGCTATGTGAGCCATGGGCCAAATGAGCCCTTCTCTCTAGTCTCACCAATCCAACTTTTACATCTAATATTTCCCACTGCTGTTTATATGGCTCAGACATATATCCAAGTTCTCTCCTCCCCTCCCTCCGCGCCCCCCACCCCAATCACTGCGCACCAGGGATCTGAATCCACTTTTCTTTGTTTACAATTCAAGATTCTACTCTGCACAGTGTATCTGTCTAATAATTACCTCTCTGATAGTTACTAATGTTAGTTAATAGAGAGACTTCAAACACATTGTTTCCATAAAGAATCAACAAAACTAAACTATAAATCAACTGTCATCACAGGAAGCTTGCTCTGAACTTACAGGGATTGTGCAGCTGTCTGAATCTCGAGACATAAATCCAACATTGCCTAAGTGAAGGATGCCAGCAAGTATTCGGAAAATTCCCATCTGATAAGATTCACTAATTCCTGAAACAGCAGAGTAAATGAACAAGTGATCAATTTCAGAACAGGAACTAAACAATTATAGCACACAATTTTAAGCCCATCTTTAACCCTTGAATAATGCCAGATGTTGTACACATTATAATGTGTCATAGTTAACAACACTTTCATCTTTGTTGACATTAACACATAATGCGCTTTAGCATTATGGTTGAGAGCATGGGCTGTGGAATGAGACAGACCTCAGCTTGAGGCCTGGCTCTGCTCCTGACCTGCCATCTCACATTGGCAGGTAACTTCACCCTTCTATCCTTCTGTTTTCTCATTTGAGATACAGGGACAATAGAGACTATCTCAAAGGGAGTGTGTAAACATTAAATAAGAAAATGCACATAGTAAACTTAACACACTATGTGACACATGGTAGGTGCTAAATAAACTATCACCATCATTGTCACACACTGAATTTAAGTATCTCATAAACATTATTACCTTTTCTATTTATCTTTACTCCAAATGCAAGTTGTAGCCCAATAAGGCTGTTTTAAGTCAGATTATTTAATTACTTCTTCTAACTACAGACCAACTATAAGTCAAGGAGACCCCAAGATTAGAAGTGCTCAGGCTGGTGTTGCACCCCAGCCTGATGAGCGAGTATCTAAACGCAGCATTAGAGCAGGACCTGAAGGATCAGGCAGGATGAGAAAGCCGGACAGCCCTTGGTATTTTACCAGCTCGGGCTTCATTTTTCAGTAAGGTAAGATTTTTCCAGAATATTACATATAAATTATATTCGAGTAAAAATAGTAAAATGATTTCCAAATATGTAACTATATACAGAGTAACTGACAGTTCATCTTACAAGGAATGTTTCTGCCATCTCCTGAATTATGGCTTTTTCAAATTTGCAATTTTCTATTTACAAACAGAGTTAGCCCCGGAAGTAAAGCAGTGTTTCTCAAACTATAATACGCATATGAATCACCAATGGATCTGGTTAAAATGCAGAGTCTGGTTTAGTAGGTCTGAGACAGGGTCTGAGATTCTAAATTTCTGCAAGCTCCATAGTGGTCCTGGACCATACTCTGATTAGCAATGCTTTTAAATTAAATTAACTCACCTCAGGTTACTCCTCAAAGTACCAATATATGACTTTAGAATTATTCATATTCTGAAGCTTTTAAATAAATAATTCAACACTAAAAGTTATATAAGTACATTTCTAAAGGTCAATTTATTTATATGTAGATCCAATATTTTTTTTAATCCAGAAACAAGACAGCGACATGAGCTATTTCAAAAACAGAATAAACTACATGTAATACAGTATTTTGTCACCAAGCCAGCTCAACCACATTTCCAGGCCACAAAAGACACCGAAATCGAAAAAACAAACACAAAAAAATCCTATAAAACATGAGTTTCTGTATAGAAACCCACTTCATTTGGCTCTAGCTTTCAGATTTTGTAAAAATTTCAGTAAACAGTCCCACATCCCCTGATGCCCTCAATGTATGTTTTTTAAATAAACTTATTTATTTTATTTATTTTATTTTTGGCTGCACTGGGTCTTTGTTGCTGCGCATGGGCTTTCTCTAGTTGTGGCGAGCGGGGGCTACTCTTCATTGCGGTGTGCAGGCTTCTCATTATGGTGGCTTCTCTTGTTGCAGAGCACGGGCTCTAGGTGTGTGGGCTTCAGTAGTTGCAGCACGCGGGCTCAGTAGTTGTGGCGCATGGGCTTAGTTGTTCCGTGGCATGTGGGATCTTTCCAGCCCAAGGCTCAAACCTGTGTCCCCAGCATTGACAGGTGGATTCTTAAGCACTGCGCCACCAGGGAAGCCCCCGAATGTATGTTTTAAATAGCTTTACTGAGGAATAATTTGCATACCATAAAATTTATCCATTTTAAATATGCAATTCAATGGTTTTTAGTAAATTTACAGAGTTGTGCAACCATCACCATAACCTAATTTCAGTACAGTCCCCATCACCTCCAAGAGAAACACTTTACTCATTTGCTGTCCAACTGTGTTTTATAAAGAATCTAAAAATAAATTAAAAACAAAACACCAAAAATGAATGTTAAATCTCTGAACAATTCTCACTACTTAATATGAAGCTAAGCCAATATTCCAATCAAAGGTTGCTCGAGTCAAAAAACTATTGCTTCTAAAAATTCAAGAATAAGATTACATACCTAGCAAAGTGCAGGCCTGCCTGGTTTGTGCCATCTCCTTGGCATCATCTACTCCTTCAATCACAGGACTGCCACCTTGCTTCGTGTAATGAAAGTTATTTGCGTCTCCTGCAATTAAGGAAAATTTTTTGAAAGATGTGCAGTCTATGAAAAGGCCTTGACTTCTACCCTTATGTCCACTCTGAATTAGAGGCAGTGACAGCACAATTAAGTGTATAGAGTCTGAAATTTGACTTCCTGTGTTTTTAGTTATATTTTAATACAAGACTCAAAATTAAATAATGGAGTGAAATGTTTGTAGAATTTGTGAAATGAATAGTCCTTTCCTAAAGGTTTTATTCCAATCTACAGGCTAGGATAATTTCTTCAAACACTTTACTCCCTTCCTCATAGAGTTCCACCTATGGAACCTCATAGATTTCCACCACGTAAACTCCTTTACATTTTTTTTCCTTTTAATCAAGGCAAATTTCAAATATATACAAAAGTACAGAAACTAGTATAATGAGCCCTTGTGTACTCATCACTCATCTTAAACAAGTATCAACTCAAGGCCAATCTTGTTCCATTTATACAGCCACTCACCACTTCCTCATCCCATGAGTTATCTTGAAGCCAACTGTAGGCCTCTTATCATTTCATCCACAAATATTTCAGTATGAGATAATCTCCTTTTTAAGAAGTAAATTTGTGAACTCAGAAATTAACATAAGACAATACCAGCACAATAAATCTAGTGCCATATTCATACCTAATCGCAGCATTTTAAATTCAGGTAACTTTGCTGAGGCACAAAGCTGATAGAAGATATGATAGTTTCTCTCCTCTTCTGCCTTTGAAAAAAGAAGAGTTTTCAATTACAGCATTTTAATCTAAAACCCAGAAAATTCAATCATAAAAATAAAAATTTAATTATTTCATTTGATGAAATAAACTGTCCTCTCCCAAATTTCCTAATACATATCTATGATTATTAAACCTTGTGATTTATTAGCTATGTGCATCTGTGTGAGTGTGTATCTGTTGGTCACATTCAAAATAATATACCTGATAGTAATGCTTTTTGAACTAGTGAACAGCTTGCTCTATGGCACTGTCATAAGAGATCAGTGCCTCTGGGGGAAGCTAAAACCTTTTTATTTTTTTCCCTGCAACACTCAATATTTTCTCACAGTATTTTCTTAGATTCATGGTCTTCCTAAGACTTTTGACTAGAAAAAAAAAAAAATCCCATTTTTGCCATATCTACTGTAGCTGTTTGTAAGAAATCCACAAATGCACTACATCATCCATATCATTTCAGTTTATATATTTAAAAATAAATTTAAAAATTTTTAAATAGAAAATAAATCATGTACAATGCTAAGATCATTTCTTACTATTTTCTGACAGTCTTTTTCCACATATATACTTTAAAAATACAGTTGTAATCATACTGTTTATACAATATTATTATACCCTATTGTCATATCCTTGAATTCTGCAGTGTATTCAGTTCACTGAAGAATAGAGCAAGTAAGGCCAAGGTCAGGTTTGATGCCCAAGAGGGGCTGGTGTCTGGTAAAGAAAACTTAGTTTTCTGTGTTTAGTGCACAGAATACACTGAACAAATTAACAATATACCAATGACCACAAGCATGAATAGGCAAGAGGTCAGGGGTTTCAGTACACAGACAACTAGAAAATCAGGGGGATCTGCAGAAGTGCTTTGGTCATCTTTGTACACGAAGGACAATATCAAGTATGCGCTTTCTGACTGTTTGACTCACTTTGATATAACCAAACACCCACAATATTATATAGCCCTGTGGGTTGGGGAACAGCTAGAATTGCTTCAATGTTTCTAGGCAAGACAATAAGGATTAGGCCTTAACACTCTGTCTTAAGCACTACTAGCCTCTGGTCACCATACCCATTTTCCCTTTAATCGTCTACCTATCAATCAAATCTGTACTATTTAGACTCAATCTTCTCTTAGATCTACATATATTTCCCCCACTGTTTCCTCTGGCTACTAAACATTTTTTTTGGACCTATTCAAGTATACATGTGTGCACAGTAACACAGCTCTGCATGTATCTAGATATTAGAACAATGGAGGAGGGTGACTATTCCTTCGCTATACAAATCAGGTATTACATTTAGGTAGCCACAAATCAGGCGCACCCCCAAAGTCAAAGCCAGGGTAGCTCTAGGCTGCCCAAACTCATGACTCTCAGTATGTCCCAGACAGTTTCAAAGCCTTAAGACACTTGTGCAATGGAAATTGTAGACTCTGCTACATGGCGGTGCCAGGGCTATTTGAACCTCAATATGGTGAGCATCTAGTTAAGGGACTACAGGAACCCCATCTCAGCATGCAGTGGGTCACCAGGAGTCCTATATGGGGAGTTTTCCAATGATAAGTCCACATTCCCTGAGTATACCTATAAACATGTAAATGCACACCTGCCAGTGCTGTAATGTGTAGTACTTCCCATTTACAAATAAAAAAGGAGTAAGTTCCCTGGTGCGGATTCTGGGCTTTCACTGCCGTGGCCTGGGTTTAGTCCTCGTTGGGGAACTGAGATCCCCGCCCCCCGAAAAGGAGTAAGTGCATATGTGCAAATGCAAGTCTGGCACTGATCCATACACTTGAGTGTGTTCTCTGACAGTAGTTCACAACTGAGTTGTGAAGATCTTTTAACCCTCATTATTCTATCTAAACAGTATCACATTCTGAGAGAAGGAAGGAAGAAGGACAAGGATAATTATTTTTTTCTTGAACTGAGTTTAAACTGTAACTCACTGAAGCATAGACCAATGTCTTCCCTATCAACTGGGAAATGTGACAGACAAGACTAAACTAATAGCGTCTCTTCTTAACTAAGCTTTTCCTACAAGCATTTGGAGGAAACGGTCAAAACCATTAAACCTAAATCAGTGCCCAGTCCCAAAGACTATTAGACTAAGGGGTACCCTCTGATAGGCACTGTTTTACATGTTCCAGTCCAAGTGTGGTTTGCAGTAATATTGCAGTAATATTGTCATAACATGCTCAAGAACATCTGGGAATAAAATGCACACCAACAAACACGAGCTCTGTAATTTTATGGCAATCTATATGTATACCTGCCCGGCTTACCTGGAACACCACTCTGGATTTCTCTAAAAGGTAAGTTCTCATATTGGCACCAATGATTCGATGTCTCTTATCAAAACCAATCTCAATGTACTTCCCAAAACGGCTGCTATTATCATTCCTGGTTGTCTTAGCATTTCCGATTGACTAAGAGACAAAGGGAAAACAATAAGGTTTTAGAAGTGCAATTCATGCCCTGACATTTACAGATTTGTTCAGGGAGAGAAAGAACACAACCCTTTAAAATTGATTCTTTTGAAAACAGAACCAGTTTTGCCCCTGCAGGCACAACTGTATGCTTTGCTCACTGCACAACCACACAGGTATACACTAATAGTCCGTATCGGCCTTGTTATTCTCGCACAAATTATTTTCAGAAACAGCAGACTCGAGCCCAGTGCCTGGGAGGTCTTCATCCACCATTTGTGGTATGGAACATACTCATTCATGTCAACAAAGGAAAAGAACAGATGGGACCAGGGGCTGCCTAGGCACATGCCCTCTTAGTTAAATAACAGGGTTTGGTTTCTTGAAAAACTTAGTCTGTTTTATGTAAATAAGCTGGTTAAGACAAATTAATATTTTCCTGGAAATATTGCTTTGGTGTTCAGGGTCTCTTTAGCCAGTAGGCCCAGCTGGACTGCTTATTAGTGGAGTGTTGGTAATTACCCACTTAATTCAAAGCCATTTTCAGAAACCAGAGACAGTAAAATTTGGCTTTGGATTTTGATAGTTGTATCTAACTTGCAAGACATCTGCTAAAGAATGCAGAGAATGTAACTTTCTGCTAAATTTTTCATATAATCCTAAAAATTTAAATTGAATATGCACTGCTTTCTGATTTAGGTAACATGCATCTATAAATTTTTCTTTCAAAGCAAAGCAAAAAACATGCTGTAGTTAGAAAAGCAAGTGTTAACATACTGCATAAATTAAATGCTTAATAAGATAATTTCATACAATTAATATCTTTCACTGCACAAAGCCTGTGACTATTAGGATTAGTATACTGAAACCACAGCAGAGAGAAAGATATGAAAATGCTCTGGAGCATTAAGAAAGCAATACAAAAAAAAAAAAAAAAAGCAATACAAACACAAGTGATGAAAACAGTAGTAACAGAGCCATAAAAGTCAACACATTAGATTCTCTGATCAATCAAAGAAAACGTATTTTCACTCTCTGAAATATAAGACATGTATTACCATATTCTGTTTTGGCAATCAGAACACTGCTAACTTTCAGATTAACATTATAGATTGAAAGAATAGTTGGAAGCTATTTTCCCAGCAAAACTTGATATTACAAAAAGCACAACAAAAAGTCTCCATATATTCCCATTATTTTTATTTTGTTTAGAAAATAAACGTGAAATTTTCTTTCAGCACAACATATTCTGTCAAACAGCAGATGAAGGGTTACATGTAGTAGCAGTGGCAGCAGCAGTAATAATTACTGAGTGTTTACCAGGCACTGTCCTAAGCACTTTCCCCCAGCAACTAAGCAAGTTAGGGGAGGGTGGTCCACAGCTTCTCCTCCCTCCCAGACTCTTATCCCAACCTCCATATGTCATCCCCCTGCCCCAATCTACTTACAGTGGGGATCAGAGTGGCCAACCTGCCAAGATAATACTACACTCTGTGAGAAGAGGAAGTGAGTAGGCCAGAGTTGAAACAGACCCTTTTGTCTTTGAGTACAGGGTATATAAACATATAGCAAAGAATGGTAGAAGGAGTAAATGAAATAGAAGTCTGAAGATCTGGGTATCACACCAGGGCCTACCACTAACTTGCCATCATTTAATCCTCTAAGGAGCATTAGTGAACCCAAGCGTAAACTGACTGGAATAGATGAGCTCTAGGGTCACCTTTCAAAAATAAAACTCTATGATTCTAAGCCTTTAACCCAATATGGAAAGAAGGTTCTGTATATAAATGATGTTTATTCATTTATTTTGTTCATTCCCCCAATTGCGCCCTCTGCCTTATAAGTACTATATTTATAACAGCCTCCCTAATGCTATTTTCATTTCAATCAGCAAGAAATTGTTAAAGGAAAGAAGTTTTGTGGTCTTGATTTTACTACTGATTTCAGAGAAATGGTGAGTGAATTATTCTTCTTTACTAAATGGAGATAAAAATCTTCAACTACAGTTATTGAAGAGGAAATAGAACTATTAAGACCCAGTGTGGGGCCTTCCCTGGTGGTGCAGAGGTTAAGAATCCACCTGCCAATGCAGGGGACATGGGTTTGATCCCTGGTCTGGGAAGATCCCACGTGCCGCGGAGCAACTAAGCCCGTGCGCCACAACTACTGAGCCTGCGCTCTAGAGCCCGCGAGCCACAACTACTGAGCCCACGAGCCACAACTACTGAAGCCCGTGTGCCTAGAACCCATGCCCTGCAACGAGAGAAGCCAACGCAATAAGAAGCCCGTGCACCGCAACGAAGAGTAGCCCCCACTCACTGCAACTAGAGAAAGCCTGCGCACAGCAACAAAGACCCAACGCAGCCAAAAATAAATTAATTAATTAAAATTAAAAAAAAAAAAAAGACCCAGTGTGCCCCCAACATCTTCCCTGTCCCCATCTTAGGATGAAAATTTCTAGGAAAAAAAGGATGAAAAGAAAAATGTCATAAAATTGAGTAAAAGAGAATCATTTATTTCACTGTACATTATTCGTATTTTGCAAAAGGAGCCTATGACGAGGATGAGGAGCTTGCTTTCTAAAGGATAATGTGCAAATCCCATAAGCCACTGGGCTGTGATGTTCAAGGTATGGGATGCTCGTGATCACTGGAGACCCAGACATTCCTTTCTTGACATCACAGTAAAGGGCTCTGATATAGAGACATAATCTTTTTTTTTTTTACATCTTTATTGGAGTATAATTGCTTTACAATGGTGTGCTAGTTTCTGCTTTATATCAAAGTGAATCTGTTATACATATACATATGTTCCCATATCTCTTCCCTCTTGTGTCTCCCTCCCTCCCACCCTCCCTATCCCACCCCTCTAGGTGGTCACAAAGCACTGAGCTGATCTCCCTGTGCTATGCGGCTGCTTCCCACTAGCTATCTACCTTATGTTTGGTAGTGTATATATGTCCATGCCTCCAGAGACATAATCTTGAGGCAGGTTTAAAAGCTACAAATTTTCTAGGCCACATATTCAATATTTTACCTATATTTTCTTCCTGTAACTGGAAACCCTTTGTCACCATTCTTCAGCCCTACATTCCATTTTAGTCTTTCAAGTTGGGATGCCCTCATTTGTAGCTGTTGAAAATTAGTTCTCTCTTTAACAAATTTTCTAAATCCAAATTCCTGCAGAGAAACTAAGTAATATAGCGTGAAGTAGCTAAGTATAACTACTGTCTTTAAAAAAATTTTTTTCTTAAATTTTTTTAAAAAGTATAACTGCTGTCTTTATCTTTTTTTGTTCATCCTAGCAAACAGGGTAAATTCCTTATAACTGCATATTAAAAAGTAGTATCTGTAGTCATTCCAAATTTTTAATATCACTCCTACTAACACAACTCAAATCTGCGTTGTAGAAAAAACAGTATAGCTAGTTTTTGAACGAGACTATAGCAAGGTCATAAAATAGTTCATTCAACTTGACGTATTCCAGAGTTATGTTATTATATGGTCTAGGCCTAGGAGAAACGGGATTTCCTGATGCGTTCATAATCAAGACTCTGGGATCTTCTAACATTAGGGACTAAGAATGGCCTAAACTACTGCCAAATACCAAGAATTTGTTGCTATGATCAAAAACAGTCAAAATAATCGTAGAAAGCAAAGCCCTGTTGTTTTCTGAACCGAAATCAGAAACTGGCTATACAGATTATATTTTCGCAATATTAACACAAGTGGGATTCACCTCTATATCTGTAGCTTAAATTCTTTCAAAATCTTAATATTTGCTTAAAATCTTTACTACTCTCTTTCGGCATAAGCATCTGTTTTCTCCTGTCTGTGTTATTTCAGAAAACATTTCCAGTTCTCTTTCCATAGGTCACCCAGCCCAGGAGGCTCTTAACTACCCCAGCATCTCTTATTTTCCTAATCCCAAGAACAGAAGTCATGCTGCACTAGAGGGCAGCCCTGTGGGCAAGGGGTCACAGCATACTATTCTGAAGTGTCACACACAGCACTGCACACCAGGCACAATTACCTCTGGACTGATCAGTGCGAAAACCACTTGCACAACAGGTGCACCAAGCCAGTCCTAAACGCCATCTGTGTTTGGGTGACATGTAAGGCTTGACAAAGGAAAAAAACAGGAATAAAGAATGCTGACTTGGGTTTTTATTAAGAAAGGTTTGTTTCTGCATGTCCAAAGTAATTTCCCTCCATTTATTGAGACTTATTTTCTCCATTGAATGGCAATACTTACAAAAATGTAACTTTCCTAAAATCATACTAATACACAAATAATTCTCTAATTACAAATCCTAAAATACTCAAATTCTCACACAAAAAGGTCTGTTTTCTTTGGCATGAGCATGTCTACTTTGTATACATAGTCCACTTTTGAAAGGATATCCTTTCATAGATCTTCCTTTTCCAAGAATTTATATTATTGAATTTCTTTTTCTAAACTAAAGCTGTGTGATATGCTTGACAGAAACAAGCAGAAAAATGCTTTCAAGACTATGATTTAAGTTTATAGTTCATATCTGGAAAAATGTAAAAACTTATAGCTAAACAGGTTGGACTAAGTACAGAAAACGAAATGCGGGCAGAGGAATAATGAAACTCATTCATGCTTGAGCATAGTGAATCCTGTATTTTAGAAAGAGCTTTAAAAAAGCTCAGGATTGTGGGAAAAGGAGTAATTTATACTTCCAGTATAAGGAGCAATAGATACAAGTCAATTAACTGGGAGAAAAGAAACTTTAGGAAGTGAAGTGCCATTGCCAGCTACTTGGAGGCAACGATCCAATGGTAGGTTAAAAATGCAGGTTTATGGAATAAAGTAGCTTCCTCTATAGCTAGACTTTACTCAAAATGTCTACCTTACTGAATTTTTACTTTTCCTAGATCTCTCACTAACATCCAGAAAAGTATTTTCCTACTATTACTGGTTGAGAGATCCTAGACTTTCTGACATGTGCTGTATCAATCAATTTTTTGAGCCTGTTTCTTAATGAGAGAATATAGTAAGAACGCCATGGCCTTACCTCCATGATGGGGTTGGATGCCAACACCTTTTCCTCAACATTGGCTTCACTGGCGGAACCACTTACAGTTGCAAAGTATCGCATGGCATACTTAGCTGAAACTGTTTTTCCTGCCCCAGACTCTCCACTTACGATGATGGACTGATTTCGTTCATCTCTGTAAAACAAAGAAGAGTAACTGACAGTGCTGCTCACTTTTGAATGTGATTAACATGATTATCTCTGTATTCTCATCAATGAGCCATGGAGAGTTCCTGCTCGTTCACACATGCAAAAATGTGGGAAGGAACCTAAGAGTGACATTTCCTAATAAAAACAACTACTTATAAATTAACAATGAACAGAGAGGGAGAAGAAATATCAGGCATTAAATTAGAGAGCATCACATCTAAGGATGAATAGTCTCTGAATTTTTTGTGTGTACATATCTCAAACACACTTTATTCTTAGAGAATTATTTTGGTCTATTAGAATACTGTTGTCAACCACCTTTAGAAGAGACAGGAGTTACAGCAAACAAATTTAGAAGAAAATACTACTTAATTGAAAAAAAAATTATCTACTAGCTAACTGTCCATAGTGTCTCCCACAAACTCCAGCTCTTACTAAAGTACCCTCATTACCAGAGAAGAAATGGTTCATTTGTTGGCTGATTCATTCAAATATGTTAGAACTCAAAGACTACCAACTGGACTTCCCTGGTGGCGCAGTGGTTAAGAATCCGCCTGCCAATGCAGGGGACACGGGTTCGAGCCCTGGTCCGGGAAGATCCCACATGCTGCGGAGCAACGAAGCCCATGCATCACAACTACTGAGCCTGCTCTCTAGAGCCAGTGAACCACAACTACTCAGGCCACGAGCCACAACTACTGAAGACCACGTGCCTAGAGCCCGTGCTCTGCAACAAGAGAAGCCACCGCAATGAGAAGCCCGCGCATCGAAGAGTAGCCCCCGCTCGCTGCAACTAGAGAAAGCCTACGTGCAACAATGAAGACCCAATGCAGCTAAACAAATTAATTAATTAATTAAAAAAGCAAAGACTATCTACTATTACATCTTTAATTCATTCATACAATGACTCAAAACTCTAGGTGAGGAACTTACTCATAAGACTATTATTTCTTTGAGGATGAGGACCTATGTCACCATATCGTTAATATCCAGCAACTAGTCCAGAGTTTGACACATCACAAGCGCTCAGTAAATGTGTATTGATTATAAGTAAATAAAACTTTAATAACCAACCTAGCCTAGGAATAAATCTGCTTTGGCTATGATTTCGACTGGGAAAGAAGCAGTAAACTTCTGCTTCCTGAGATGAAACCAGCAGTCAGCTTCAATCCATCAAATTAACTGAACAAGTACACAAAGGTAGTAACATTTTTGCCCTTAATTTATGGAGAGACAAGATGAGTTCAAAGGTTTTTAGGCCACAAGATTACAAGGTTATTTCACTATAGAAGACGATCTTTTAAAAGAAATTTATTTATCCAACAAACATTTAGCAAACACCTGCTACGTGCCAAACATTGTGCTAAATACTAGGGATACAAGTTTAAAAAGCCATGATCTGCATCTCAAGTGGTTGAGGGTCTAAGAGGAAAGACAAACTAATAATTAAAGATTATAATACATGGGATGGGGTACTGAGAGAAGGAAGAGGTGATCAGGGAAGGCACCCTGGAGATGATACCTCAGCAAAGTCTAGAAAGATGAGTAAGAGAAAGCAAGCAAGGGAAAAGGAAGTTAGGAAGGAAACATTCCAGGGAAAGGAGATAACATAAATGAAGGCTCAGATGCATGAGAAATTAGGAAACATCAGATAATTTAATTTGACTAGAACATGAAGTAATGACAGATAAGGTTGCAGAGGTTAACGAGAAATGGATGACAAATATCTTACATGAGCTGTTAAGGAATCTGAAGTTTACCTAAAGGTCACGGAGTGTTACTGCAGGGTTTTAAACAGAAAATAAACAATCTAATTAGTAAAAATGCTCTGGCAGCAATGTGGATATGGGTGGCAGAGGTCCAGATGAAAAGATATGAAAGTCTGAACAAAGACTGTGGTGGCCATGACTGAGAGAGGCAGATGGGTTTAAGAGACACCAAAGTGATAGAATCAAAAGTACCTGCGATAAGTTTCCAAAGTAGAAAGATTTGGTTAAGATTTGGTAAAGGTTGATTTTTCATTGAGAAAGGGTGGTGACTGTATTATTTTACAAACTTTGAAAAATACAATAGGAGTACCCAACTCAGGCCTGATTAAGTACATTCACATCACACTACCAGCACCTCTAAGCAGCCTGTTCAGACACTCTGACTCCCATACTGTGGGGAAAATCAGGAGGACCTAGGGGACACAAGGAATGTTTAATACTTATAGTAAAGGCTTGCATGTAACCCTCATTTTTATAAAACATCCTTGAACCTCATACTATCTCATTCCCTTTTTATTTGAACTTCTAGACTCAACTGCATATTCCCACTGCCTCTGTTCATACATGCCTGATTTCAAGATAAATCACTCAAAATCAAAAACAAAAAAACCCAAACAGTTCTCATTGTGGGGCCAATGTCCCTTTTTTTTCGTCATTTAGAATATTTTAATGTTCTCAGAATTGATGTCTTTGATACATTAATCAAGGACAGTATCATCATTCTTTGGATTCCCTTCCAAAATATAACTAGAAAAATGATCTCTTCCTAATTCCTGCATGATCAGTTCTGTCACTACACCCTGTGTGATAGCTACCTTGACAAAATTCTCCCAGCATTTCTTCCAATAATAAACAAGGTGAAGAGGCTTCCACTAGTCTGACAAAAAGGAATTATTAGTGGGAACTGCTATCCTAAACTGTACTGCCTTTGAAATACTATTTCAAGTCTTTATGACAAAATGTTTCGTAAAAAAAACTGAAGCATTCATTATGTAGTAGCCCTTTCCTATACCATGGGGAAGAAGAGAACTGTTAAAGGAGATAAGGTTGAGGATTATTCAAATGAATCACACAGATTTGTACAAATACACACATATACACATTGATGTCAAGCACATACCAGATACATTTTCTCTTTCAGGATTTACGATCCTGGATCCATATGACCAACCATTTTTAAGGGACTTTATTATTTATTACATTTCCCTGACTTCAGCAGAGGCTTCCCTTCTTCTTGAAGCCTAGTAGAGCATTCCAATATATAAATAAGTACAACTTTTCCATTACATAAATTTCTCTGAGTCAGGCTCTGGTCTTCAATCTGTCATTTACCAATTTCATGACTCTGAGCAATTGCATGCCCTCTCTGGGTCACAGTTTCCCTCATTTTTAAGATTAAATAGCATCTAAAGTCTTTCTCAATTCTAAAGTACTATAACTTAAAAGTTAAACTAACTCCGGAGTTGATTTTTCAGATGTTGGATGGGCCATAGTCTGCAGTCTAAGCCAGGTAAACTCAAGTACAATTGGAATAGGACACGCTTACAGATGCTCAGATGGGCTTGAAGGGCTGGACTTGAAATGGGCAAACATTTCTTCTCCATAGGACCCCTGAATCTGAGATGGCCAAAATCAATAAAGGGCTACAAAGAGAAAAAATGTAAATTCCATCCCCCTGCTTTTAAATTAAGAACAGGAAACAGAAATCTTTATAAAGTAAGAACAGTAGTTTTTAAAACGTTTTTCAGTTTTATGTGGCCACAGGAAGAAATGCCAAAAAGAGACAAAAGCAGAGACAGGTAGAAGTGGGGAGCCGACTAGAGACACAGAAGGGAGAAGGGTAATACATAATAAAGACGTGCAAAGGGAAAAACAAGAAAGGTATAATAGAGATGCGGAGAAAATAGACAAAAACACCAGGGATAAAAAATTTTATGGTTTTAACGTGAATATCAGAGTCTACCCTACTCTATTTATTTGAGCTGTAAGCTTTAGATTGTTACATCTATGTAAATAATAATTCATTATTCTTCGAAATTTTGATTAGCTGGTCAGCCACTATTCACAATTCTTCAGGTTTCTCGTCCTCATAAGAAACTTCTTTTACTTTTGGGATGTAGATATCACTTCAAGGACCTGATAAAACCAAGTTAAGGAACAGAGATTCACCACTCTTCCTCAAGGACAGATCAATCTGGAGCATCCTAAGGATGCAGGAACTGAAAATTTATGATTTCTGGCTTGGCCAGTCCTCTCAAGGGCCCCCGCAATGATCCTAAATAGCCTGCATACTGGGTGCCCCGAAGCAGAGGTGAACTCTTGTGGCCTGTTTCAGTCAATGTTGCTTCCAGAGGCTATAATGTGAACGAAAAGCCACTATGTAAATATACTGCTTCATTCATTCATGCAACAAATATGTAATGAGTAGCCACAATGTGCCAAACACTTTATGAAGATAAAAGACTCTAGGGTCATAGCCTATTGAGAGAGACTGAAAAGTACAGTTTAAATACAGTGGAGTAATTACAAGAAAAGAGGTCTATCCAGAATATTATGAAAGCATGAGGAAGGGGTATAGAACTAGTGGAAGATGTGAGGAAGAGCTGTCAGGAAATGCTTTCTAGAGAAGGTGATGCCTGAATTGACCCTTATACGATAATTAGGAGAAAACTAGGTTGTATGGGAAAAAGACAATAGGAATTAAACTATGGAGAGGTACCTGAAACCCCAGGAAATAAATTATTCAAGGATAGACTATCTACTCTGGGTTGATGAAAGAGAGAGATGTTACACTTGAGTCTATATTCCTTCTATCTATATATGTATTTGGTTTGTCCAGCCTTTCCTTAGATTATATCTAGTAAGATTCATTTTGTATCAGTTATATTATTTTATACATTTTCCTTATGAACTTTGCCCTTTAAAAATGTAATCTCTCTAGGTTATGGTGCTCATATTTTCCAAGACCATCATCTTGTCCTCTGCAAACTTAATGAGCATACCTTCCATTCACATCCAGGTTGTTAATGAGGAAACTAAGTAATGCCAGCCTCAGACCTGACTCATGCAGGACCCACTTTACTATATCCACACACCTCAATGTTGACTCTCTCATAACCATCCACTGGGTGTTGCCATGTACCTTGGTTAAGTGTACAAGCACCTAGGTCTAGTTTTTAGCTTATAAGTGAACATGTTCTCATGAAACAAAATCTAGAGTTTTATTTTCTTGCAGGCACTCAATCTAATTGCTTCTCCTTTATCTGATCCCTTGTTAAAAAGGAAAATTATTAAGTTAGTGTAATACAATGGTTTCTTCCAACATTGTGTATTTACTGTGATGTGGCTTTCACTTGAGACTCTAATCCTTATTTCTCTTGTTAGAGAGGTGCTAAGTTTTTCTACATTTTTATCACTTGTCAAACCTCAAGCTGCTCAGCTCTGTTTTTCCAAGATTTCTGCTCTTGATCAAAATCCCAAGAAGAAAAGATTTACACTCTAAAGTGGATACTAGACAATGAGTTCACAAGACAATGTGCAGTATCAGTTTTTAAGTATAAATATTTACCATAAGACTGTGCTGGCACACTGATGAAAGCTGTGCTAGAGAGGTAGAGAGATTATTCAGGAAATGAAAATAAGCGTTTCCTGGAGATACACCAAATTCCTGCTGAGAAGTCTGTCACATGACTATCAGATCTTCTCATGTCAATCTGATTTTCTGTTCCATCAGTATAGAGCCTATGAAATTAATATAAAGATTCCATGACAAAAATAGCCAATTGTTTCTAGTTATACATATTTTTTTAATATTCTTTTCCATTATGGTTTATCATAGAGTATTGAATATAGTGCCCTGTGCTATACAGTAGGACCCTGTTTTCTATCTATCCGATATGTAAAAGCTTACAGCTGCTAACCTCAACCTCCCACTCACTCCCTCCCCCAACCCCTCCCCCTTGGCAACCACCAGTCTGTTCTCTATGATTCTGTTTCTGTTTCATAGATAAGTTCATTTGTGTCGTACTTTAGATTCCACATATAAGTGACATGATATGGTATTTGTTTTTCTCTCAGAAATAGCCAATTTTATTTGTTTGTAACTTTTATAGACTCATATACTTACTGCACTTTATTCCTACTACAAACTTACTGGGTAGATAGTTCTCAGTAAGTCCCAAATTCATATAGTAAAGAATTCTGAAGAGGAATCATTTATCAGGAACTGAGGTGGTCTCAAAGTAAAAATTGAGTGGGATCATGAAGAATAAATAGAAACCAGGCAGATAACAGAGCATGGAGAAGGATATTCTAGGCTGAATAAAAGGTACAGAAATAAAAGTATGCAACGTTAGTTAATCTGAGGGAATAGATTAATATTGTGATAATACTGTGTTAGAATAGGGTCATACAGTTGGAAGTAAGAAAATTAAACAACAAAGAAGAAAGGCTCTGTAGCCTCAGAGCTTGATTCATACCTCAGCTCCCAGATACTATTTATTAGCATGATAGTCTGAAAGTTACTTTCCTCAGTCTCCTCATTTGTAAAGCAGAGGTGATGATGTCTGCTCCCAGGGGTGTAATGAAGATTAGAGGTAACATGCCTGACATCATGCTTGGCACACAGTATACCTCTAAACATGGTAGCTGCTAACTAATAGAAGTTAATTCACCTTTATATATCATACATAAAATTCATTATCAGGTAGCATGTCTACTTGCCTAAGTAGGAATACTTGGTACCACATGGCAGGTGAGTCACAATTGGCAACAGGAGAGATTTGATAATCTATAACAGCCAGCATCCACTTGGCCAATGGACCTTAGAAGTGTGAAGCATTCAGTCTGCCTAAACAAATGCAAGAAGGGGCCACTCTAAGGAAAGGCCTAGCAAGAGAGTCAGGAAGAATAAAACCCGATGAGAGGCTAAAATGAACAGAAAGAGAATGCAGCCATGAGACTCCATGGTGATGAAGACCGTGATGACAGTAACAGCTTATATTTAAACAGTGTTTCTCAAAGTGCTTTTTATGTTTATCATCTAATGTAATTTTCACCTCTGAAGTAAGCATGATAAATATTATCTTTTCTTCATTGGGGGAAACAATAACACAGAGAGGTCAGATGGCTTATCCAAGTTTAGAGTAGAGTTGGGTTGTTATACTCCACATCTCTTAGTTTCCAGAGGAAAAGTCTATACTATGCTCCTTCTGCTTTGCTACAAGCTCCTTATCATAGCCTGCCCTCCACTAGAAAGAGTAAAAGACTTATGCATCAGTGCCCATGAAACTGAAAGGTAACAAGTGTGTACAACAGAATGCCTTAAATGTAAAGCTAGACCATCTAGTGCAAGTGTTCTATTTTATAGGTGATAAAACTGAGGCCCTGGGAGACCAGAAGATTTAAGCTTATATTGTTATTTACTGATGGAGCTGTGACTAGTATAGATATCTTTTCCATTACACTAAGGTTATGACTATAATTCTCTAATTTATTTCAAGAAAACTCATAAATGAAACTTAATCGATCAAATTTATTTGCTCTACCATTAACAAGGGAGGAAAAAAATACCAAATCAAAGCAATCAATATTACTTGGTTTTAAGGAAACAAAAAGAAAAAAAAAAACCCTGATGTTTTAAGGAATATAATATTGTGATTTACTTATCAGAGAGCAGTGAGTTTCAGCATGAGAAAAGACTGGCAAGAATGTGAGGCAAGTTTATTCCTAGATACTTTATTCATAAAGACATACATATCACCTTTTTCCCCAAGATGTGGACAAAACCATCTCATTATCTAGGCCTTTGCTCCACTGTGTATCTAGGTCACGTTGTATATTTTGCTGCCATAGCTTCATTAAAAGCAATTCGGAAGAGCAATAAATAAATACAAATACAAAAATGTATATGCACAAGGTTATTTATTGTAGCACTGTTTGCAATTGCAAAATGTTGAAAACAATCTAAGTGATCATATATGGGAGAGTGGCTGAATAAATTCATAAAGTGGTGGGGAAGAAAGGAACCAACCTAAGTAACTTTGGAAACTGGCACTTTATATCACATAAGGCTAAAGACAAAATGAATTAGACGCAAATGTACTTGAGTGGTAAATTTGCTTTTCACAGGGATATGGGTTAGCATTTCTGATACAAAGAGTATTCCAGGATTGAGCAAACAAGTAAATAAACTACGGATAATGAGAGCCAGGGTTTTCAAGGTCAAAAAAAAAGTTAAAAGAAGGAAAAAGAAATCAAGAATAAAAATTGTGGTGTTGAACTAGATTTGGAGGTATCAGTGTGAACTCATGGTTTTTAATATATATATTAAATATACAAATAGGTATGTGCGTATGTGTGTAAAAAAGTGCAAAGTCTTTCCTACTTAGAGAAAGGTAAATTAAAACAACACTAGGGGCTTCTCTGGTGGCACAGTGGTTGAGAGTCCACCTGCCGATGCAGGGGACACGGGTTCGTGCCCCGGTCCGGGAAGATCCCACATGCCACGGAGCGGCTGGGCCCGTGAGCCATGGCCGCTGAGCCTGCGTGTCCGGAGCCTGTGCTCCACAACGGGAGAGGCCACAACAGTGAGAGGCCCGCGTACCGCAAAAGAAAAAAAAACAACACTAGGATACCATTTCTCACTTGTCAGACTATTTTTCTATGCATGCACAGTTTTGCATTGCATTATATCATCAAGAGTATAATCTAGTCTTGAAAATAGCTTTTTTTCTCCCATTCTCCACTCTCAAAATAGTAGGGTTCCCCGATTAACATCAAAGACATTTCCCTGATGCTGTTCAGGATCCCTGACGCCCCAGCATCTGCTAACCTTAAAATTCACACTTTCCTTGAGATTTAATTCTACCAGATACAGACAGATTTCTTTCAGCACTTAGGCCTTTTAGTTCTGGTCTGCCACTCACTAGCTGAATGACATTGGGCAAGTCACTTAATACCTACAAACCTTGATCCACTCATCTGTAAAACATAACATCTATCCTTGCATGGTCACAGAATTACAATGAGATTCCAAAGGCAGTTTTTATAAACTATATGTCCTTTTACAAATGTTAGGTTACTTTAATAATAATGCAGGCCAGGGACTTCCCTGGCAGTCCAGTGGTTAAGACTCCGCACCTCCACTGCAAGGGGTGTGGGTTAGATCCCTGGTCAGGGAACTAAGATCCCACATGCCGCACGGCACGGCCAAAAAAAAAAAAATGCAGGCCATCTGAGACAAATCAATCAACGCTGTTTAATGAATAATTTACTAGTCGTTATTCACTGTATTTTAAAATATCTGTGACTCAGCAAAGAAGAAATTATCACATCTAATAAAAGTCATGAAATAATAAATAGCACTTCCACCAACCTGGCCATTTGCTTGTAAGCTTCTTCAGCTACTGCAAAGATATGTGGATCCATATCGCCCATGTTCTGACCGCTGTATGCATTGATAATATCTTCTCCATAAATAGGCAGCTGCTCATAAGGATTTATAGCTACTAGGACTATACCTGGGAGAAAGGTAAAAAAAAAAGCAAAAGAAGAAGTCAGTAATATCCTCAGGGGCATATCAAACTTGGTAAAGTGAGAATCATAGTTAATACTAACTCAATTTCAGTTAATACTGAACTAACAAATTGTTAAGGGTCAAAATATATCATAGCCTTTGCCTCTGAACCCATTATACCTAGTCCTAACTAAAACACCATTTATGAACTAGACTAGGTGATTTAAAATAATAAAAACGGTGGCAATGTTGAAAGGACTTTAAATATTTTTGTAATATTTAAACCAAAAATTCCACTTCTAGAAATTTACCCAAATGAAATAATCATAGATTCACATAAAGGTTTTTTGTTGGAAATAAAGATGTTTATCATAATGTTATTCATAACAGTGAAAAGTGGAAACAAAGTATATAATAAAGGGAGAGTGGTTTATGTACGGCACAGGGAACTATATTCAATATCCTGTGATAAACCTTAATGCAAAAGGATGAAAAAAATATATATATATGTACAACTGAGTCACTTCGCTGTATAGCAAAAACTAAACACAACATTGTGAATCAACTATACTTCAATAAAAGTTTTTTTAAAAAGGGAGAGTGGTTTAATACGTATTATTATATCCATGTAACAGACTATTGAGCTACCACTACAAATCATGTTTATAAAAAATATTGTGTCATAGGAAAACATGACACAAAACTATATATAGACTGATTCCAATTTTATATCTATTTATACTCTCTCACATATACACACAGGATATAAGACAACATAATACTGGTTATTTTTCAGTGGTAATTACATGTAATTCTTTTTCATTTTTTATACTTTTTTTGGTATTTCCTTAAATTTTACAGCAAGTATATATTAACTTAAAGTCATTCATTCAACAAATATTTGACTACAGCTAGCTTTCAAGTCATTACTAAGTGCTATATTTATAACAGTAAACAAACAAAAAGACAAATCTAAATGGAGTATAACCTTTAAAAATTGTGGGGACTTCCCTGGTGGCGCAGTGGTTAAGAATCCACCTGCAAATGCCGGGGACACGGGTTCCATCCCTGGTCCGGAAAGATCCCACATGCCGTGGAGCAACTAAGCCTATGGGCCACAACTACTGAGCCTGTGCTCTACAGCCTGTAAGCCACAACAACTGAGCCCATGGGCCACAACTACTGAAGCCCTTGTGCCTCAAGTCTGTGTTCTGCAAGAAGAGAAGCCACCACAATGAGAAGCCCGCACACCACAACAAAGAGTAGCCCCTGTTCGCCACAACTGGAGAAAGCCCATGTCAGCAACAAAGACCCAACGCAGCCAAAAAAAAGCAAAACAAAACAAAAAGTGTATCACTGTACTGTACACCTGTAAGTTATATAACATTGTACATCAATTATATTTCAATAAAAAATTTTTTAACAAAAGGAAAAAATTTTGCCCTTATGAACCTTATATTCTAGAGGGAAATTCAGACAATAAAATAAGTAAGAAAAATACATATCATAGGTTAGACAGTAGTAAGGAAAAGGGGGGAAAATTAAACAGAGAAGGAAGATAGACAACTAGGAGAAGAAAAGATAGGGCGGACAGGAAAGGCTTCACTGAGAAGGTAGCAAATGTGCAAGAAAAAAATAAGTTGAAGAAAAATGAAAATTGAGAAAAAGAAATATTCAGTTAATAGGTAGGGAAGAAAAAGAGCAAATATCAAGGATATAAAAGGTATAAATTCTTTTAAGAAGAAAATATACCTGTTCTTTTCCAAAACAGGAGCGTAATGAAGAAATGCTGAGTGCTGAGTTGGGTACACCAAGCAGAGACTTAGAAGGAAATGAATGGAAATCCCAGACCTGGGTCTCAGCAGAGAATGATTAGTGAAAGAAGGATAAGAAGTCAGTAGAGAAAGAAGAGCTGGGGACATGGGAGAAAATAAGAATTGTCCCCATGCACAATATTTCCATGGCCCTATCCATTAGAGAAAAGAATTCACAGTTCACTCAGACAGCAACGCACACTCACCACAATATGTATAAATAAGTTTGGAATCAATAAAGCGGACTCTGAGATTGTGGAGTACAGCAGGCTCGTGAAGATAGCTGAGGGCTGTGAGGTCATTTTCACCCACAAGTATGTCAGGGTTTCTTAAGTGAGGCAGCTCCTTCGTCTTTGGATCTAGACGATATTCCAAATCCTGAAAATGCACAAGATATAGCATCTGGATAAATAATGACAATAAACCCAAAACAGGCACATACATTTTGCTTATTTCCTATTCCTGATTTGCTTCTCAGCTATTAAATGCATTCTTTTCCTGGCACCTTCCAAAACCACAGAAACTGGTGGAAATGGCAAAAAAAATAAGGAGAGTCTTTGTTTTCACTAGATGTATTAACTCATATTAACAATTTTTGATAATACACTTTGAAAAATCAAAGCCTAGAATTTTTTTTACCTAGTTACTAGACCAGAGTTTTTAATCTTTAGTTAAATAAGCTTTTTATTTTTCCTCTTCACCTATTATAAATGACAGACAGCATAAGAGAGTGGTAAGAGCTTGGCTCTAGAGCCAGATCAACCCAGGTTCAAATCCTAAAACTGGTACTTACTCCTTTTGTGGTCTTGGGTATATTATTTAACCTAAATCTTTCATTTGTAAAATGGGCATAATGGAAATAGCTCATAGGGGTGTGGTAAAAATTAAGTGAGACAGTGCCTGGTATGTGCTAAGTACTTGGGAACTCCTGAACCCTGAGAGGTCCAAGAATCCCCTAAAATTAGGTGTTAACACTTTGTGTGTATGAACATATGTGTAAATATACACATATATGTGTATTTTTTTAAAAACACAGTCCATGGTTTTTATTCAACTTTTAATGAGGTGCTTGGGCCCCCAAATTAAGAAGTACTACTCACTTTAAAGCCAAGGGACTATGGCTTTATGGCAAAGCCAAGCATGGAGATTGTTACTCAACTACGTATTAAGGACAAACAACACACGACACATGAAAAGGAAAAAAAATGGCAATATAACTGCAGAGAGGGACAAGCTGATTTTGTAAAAAGACTTTTGTTAATACTTTTGTTAATACTAAAGAGATATATAGAGGTCAAATGTTCAAATCAGGTTGGAATGACTGCAAAATGGGGAGGAAATTTTTACAATCTGCCCCTCGACCTCTCTCTGCCTGTTTATTAGGGTATAATAATAAAACTTTTCCAAAGCAGACTGGTCCTTGCACTGGCTCCTGCCATACAAAAAAGCCACTTCTGGCTGTGTGATCTCAGGTAGACTGCTCAATGTCTTGGCTTCCTTATTTGGAAAATGGTTATAATACCACCTGTGAACCCACAGGATTGCTGTGAGAATTAACATAAGAAAATATAGGGACTCCCCTGGTGGTCCAGTGGTTAAGACTCTGCCCTTCCACTGCAGGGGGCACAGGTTCAATCCCTGGTTGGGGAACTAAGATCCCACATGCACAGCCAAAAAAGAAGAAGAAAATATAGCCTAAGGTACCTAACGTCGTGCCTCACAGAGTGGATGATCAATGAATGTTGAGTAAATTAATTCCTTAGTTAGCAGTCAAGGCCCTCAATTCTTCCCTGCCTTCTTTCTGAATAAACTCCTTGTCTCTGTTTTGCTCTCCTAAAATTCATCCTCCATGCTGCCAACAGTGAGTCCTTTCTAAAACACAAACCTGGCACCCTTCTTCTGTTTAAAAACACTACAATCACTCCCCATAGCACACCAGTTGAAGTCCAAGAGTTTCAGCATGAACACCAGGCCCTCTGTGATCTGGTTCCCACCTCCATCCTCTTGCCAGTCCTGTACCCTCACTTCACATCCTAACAACATGGAACTTGCGCAGTTCCCCAAACACACATCACTGTACAAGCCTCCCTGCCTTTGTCCATGCTTTTCTAGATCCCTGAAATGCACTCCTCCTTGTCTACTCATTCTTTAGACAATGCCTCTCTGACCCTTAACCTTCACCAGTCCCTCTGGCCACGACCCACTCTGTTCTATTTTTGTTTCTTGTTTATATTTATTATATCATGTGTCACACTATTCATAAGCATATGTACTTTTCCTACCTGACATTAATGTCAGAGAGCATATCTTTTGCCACCTCTTAACATGGTCTATAGCAGGTACCTTAACACACAAGCCTTGAATTAGTACACACACCTTTCTAAATCTCGGCTCCAGTCAACTTGTGATATTCACTGTCTCCAAAATATATTCCAATCCTCACAAAGTCTACTCCCTTCTCTTTGTTAATCCAAATTCTATCTAGTCAAAATTCTTCCTTCTCTTTGAAGCCTTCCTTGAAGCAGCCCACAGTGATGCTTCCCTCTGTTGGGATCCTAAAGTCCTCACTGTCTTTACAGTGCAGCAGAGTGGTAATGAGCACAGACCAGAAAGGCAATCTCCTGGCTTTAAGTCCCAGCTTCATCCCTTAATGCGTGTATAACCCAGAGCAAGTCCCAAACTCTCTGAGCCTCAGGTTCTTCATCCATAAAGTGGTAAAGATAATAGCCCAACCTCACAGGACTGTTATGAGGATTAAGTGAGTTACAGCATATAAAGAGCACTTAGAACTATGCCTGTACATAGTAAGTGCTCAATATATATTAACAGTCAGGACAGCATTATTCACTTGGCAGTTAATCATAAGCTTATCTTTTGACATCTTAATATTGCTGTGTTGAACTACTTTTTATATCCTGTATTTTCCTGGCTAGATTATAACTTGTTTAGAGGAAATTAACGTCACAAAGGTTTTTAAGAAAAAAGTGTGACATGCCCTGTTAAATGCAGTGGAGAGATTAAAAAGGGTAGAACTAAGACTCCACTCATGCAGTGAATGCAGATGGGAAAGAGATACAACTGGTTTTAAGTTTTTCTGGCCACTAGCAAAGTATTTTATATAACAGCTTCTAAGTAAATATTTTTCTAATACCTAGTTCCAGCAAATATCATATCTCAAACTGGCTCCTTAAATGTTGCTTTCTTAGTTAATGTGAATAATTTTAATAGTATCCTAAACAAAATACAGATAAACAGGAATATCTTTGGGAGGATTAGATGTGAATCTAAGCCAGGTCATAATAAATTCATAAATCAAAATAATGGATTTTTAAAAGTACCTGCTATTTTCACTAAGCCATTGGGATAGAAAATTGAGTTTGCCATTTTGCTATTTTTATCAATTAAGTAAGTGAAAATATTGTATTGATTCAAAATTTAACTTCCAAGTGAAGTTAAGTATGTCACAGCAAATTTACACTTTTGAATTTCCTTCACTTTATGCCAATAACAACAAATAAAAGCAAAATTTTTACCTTTCCATCCTCAAGGTGAAGCAGGAGGACTTTATCTCCTGGCTTATAATCTTTGAGCAACTCTGCTGACTTCCAAACTTCCTCGGGATCAGGTATCCAAACCCTGGCAAACTAGAAGACAAAAAGAAAAAAAAATTTTAAACCAGCAAATCAAGCATTCTTGACCTGCGCTAAACATGAGGAGATTTTCAACTAAATCTGGAAAGAAGCACCTTTGTGTTTTGTCAACAGCAAGCTCCAGCTCAGATTTCCACAAGTATTTTGGAAACAGTAATGAGTAGGTACTTTGCCAAAGGTTAGATTTCCAAGAGCTAGGTGTTAACAACACTTACAGATAGTAGACAGAGGCTAAGGCCCTTACACTCACCAGAGACAAGATATTTAAATAGCAAACATCACTCTGACAACCAACTTCCCCTTTATCCTATCTCTATCTCTGGGGAAGGTATCCAAAGAGAAACAGGTCAGAAGTCAGTCTATTATTACCACTGTCTTTTTATGATTCTTTTCCATCTTAGCCAATGAGATCGGTAGCTCTGCAGAAACAACTATACCAGAACTGGGTCAGTCTGGAAGGTATATATAACTTAGATGTTGAGACAGAGAGCAAGCTCAACTTGACAATGCCCCTTCCTATTGCCTCTATCACCTCCAACCCCACTTTGCACTCTCCCCTTAGACCCCCAGTGAAAATACACATGGCAGCCCTGAGGAAGAGGACTAAGCTTGTTCAGCCACATCCAGTGTGAAGACTGGGAAGGAAGACAAGAAGGCAAGGTCCCAAGATCCCATGAGAAACCTAGAATGGGATGTGGCAGCAAGAGTCAGGGAGGAATCAGATATAGGGCTGCACACACCTACCCACTGAGTCTGCTCAGGTACCTGGTGAAACAGAAGCAGTTAGCGACAGATAACCCAAGCCAAAGTGAACCAGCCCCGACAGAGCTCCCAGCAAGACAAAGGAGGGTCCAGTGTCACATAACAGCTCTGTCACCAGCTGTCTCCACTAGCTAATAGAGGGTGTGACTTTCCTGCAATGCTCCCCATTCCCTTTTTTACTCATGCTGCTCTAGTTTTACCCCTCGTTACCTTGTGAGTCCCCCAAATATCTCACTTATGATTCCTCAGACCTTATTTTAGTTATTTATGGATCTGTCCACCTCCTACACTAGGCTGCATGCTCCTTAAGCCATCTTTGAGCCCCCTAGAGGTTGGCTCAGCTCCTTGCCCACAGTTCGTGGGGCATTTGTCTTGATTTTATGTAAGACAGAGGTAGGACAAGGGAAGGAAACAAAGTCAGGAGAATGGGGATGAGAGGTAGCAAAGGCAAACATCACAGACCCACCTCAGAAGGATTTTTCCTGAAGCCACAAAGCACAGCTGAGATGGGGTAGGAGTCAGAGACTCAGGGAAGAGATTCATGGAGTAGTAGGCAAAGAAAGGGTAAACACTGATGTAGGAACTGTAGGAGAAGGATAAACAAGGATTTGGGATCTGAAGTACTGTGACTAAAGCCACAAAAACTGTAGGAGATGAAGAAGAGAGAAAAAGGCTTAAACTAGATACACTAAAATATAAACACACATCAAAGATTTATGACAATTCAAAGGTACCCCTAATTAGAAAGGAGAGTAAGGGCAAAAATGGAGATGGGCTAAATCTTATGGAAACAGTCAAAATCTGAGAAAAGAATGCTAGCACAGATTTAAGTTGCATAGTAGCTTTCAAGGAAAATAAAAACCATCTGTTCTTCTACAATACAATTTATGATGAGGTAATTCTGACCGAGTCTAATGGGAAAGCACTGGAAAGGTGGGTTCAGGGGACATGCCTGCGCTGGTATGTGCAGAGAGGGGAACCAAACAACACTGGTTCAGCCTAACATGGCTTCTCAGGGGTTACACCCATCCTGTGTGCGTAGGAGGTAGCAGGCATTTTTCTTACTGTATCCTACCACAAGGACAACACTCAAGAGGTCCTTGATTAATGCAGATGATTCACTGGAAGTTTTGCTAACTTGCATTTTGTCAGTCAAGGAACCCTAAAGTGTGGGCACCAAGAGTAATTGTTTCTGATGCCTCAGACACTTTGGGAACAAGACTGACAGCACTAACAGTAAATGACCAGTCCCTGAATCCCCAAAACTCTGACCCATGTGATTCTCTCTCCTTCCCCAAACTCCCACACACATAATTTGCTTTTCATACAGCACATGTGCACATCTTTCCTAGCTCCCCTATTAAATCATAAGCAGCTTGGCAACATGGAATCTGCTTGGTTCATTTTTGATACCCCATTGTGAATGTTCACAAAAAATGAATGCTTTATGTGACAATTCAAACAAGCCTATAATAAAAACTATGTGTCCCTCTAGGCTATGAACTGAAGCAGAAGAAAAATCCCAAATCATCAACACCCCTTCCTCTGAACCCTGACATTAACACTGACACTCCATATGGTTACTAAGTAATTCACATAACCTTTAAGGCATGTTTTTGAGGTAGAAAATTCTATGGAATTTTCTATTCCTACTATGCTAAAGCACATAATGGGCTTCCAGAAATTACACACACACACACACACACACACACACACACACACACACACAAATATCTGTTGAATGAAAGAGTGATATAATGAACTCCCATATACCCACCACTTAGGTTCAGAAATAGAACATTACTCCTCAGGGGGATATATTCTTAAACATTTCATTTTCTCTCCATTTTCAATCACTACTGCCATTGTCCAGTCATGCCAATCTATGTGTTTGCAGTATCCCGAATAAGCCCTGCTGCCTTACATTTGCTTTGCCTATTTCCTCCTTCTGAAACACAACCCCTCCCCCTTTCAGATAGCAGACTCCTATTCATTCTTCACATCTGTGTTAAAGTACCTCCTTCTCTAAGAAGACTTTCCTGACTTATCATCATCATTTGGCACTCTGTTCTCAATGTCCTCATTACCTCATACAATCTTCCTCTAGAATCCTTATCCCACTAAATGATGACTTTGCTTGCCTATCTCACTCGGTAGACTGTAGGTTCCTTGAGAGGAGGGGTGCATCTTATTCATCTCTGTCTCTTCAGCACTTAACACAGGGCCTGCCTAATAATTTCTTAATAAACTTTTGTTATATGAATGTTCCTGGCCTTAGACATTATACTCGAAGAGGGCAGATTAAAAGAAGTATTGGCTAGAGGCTCCCAGAATCTTCTAAAAGGGTCTATAATTTCCAGAAGTAGAGAAAGATGAAAGTGACATTGGAGAGTTGAGTTATACAGGACATCTTGGTGTGACAGAAGGAAAAAGAGCCAGACATGAGAGGAGTACAGAAGTAATGAAACACCCTTTCCTCCCCGCCACCGCAAACCTCCATCCCTTCCTAATTCATGTATTTAGAGTGGAAGCTATACCTCACTTCCAGAACAGAGAGCCCCACTTCCAATCCCACTACAAATTCTTTACTTAGAAGGCAAAGAGGTGTTGTGACCACCACTTCTACCAGCCATCTCCTGGAGCAGCAAAGGGGAGAACAGATGGGAAGAAAGGTAGGCCAAGGGGTTAGAGCAGGGAAAGAGGGTCACACTAAAATGGCGGAAGGAGAAAAGATTGGCTGCAGTGAACACAAGGTGCATTCTGAGTAGGGCTGGAAGTAAAGAGCAAAAGTGTCCTGTGCCCCTACTGCGGCTTTTTAACAGATACAAGCATACCTCATTTTATTGTGCTCTGCTTTATTGTACTTTGCAGATATGGCTTTTTTACAAATTGAAGGTTTGTGGCAACCCTGTTTCAGGCAAGTCTACTGGTGCCATTTTCCAACAGGATTTGCTGACTTCATCTCTGTGTCACATTTTGATAATTCTCACAATATTTGAAACTTTTTCATTATTGTTATATTTGTTATGGTGATCTGTGATCTTTGATGTTACTATTGTAATTGTTTTGTGGTGCCGTGAACCACACCCACATAAGATGACGAACCTAAATGATAACGTTGTGTGTGTTCTGACTGCTCCACCACCTACTGGCTCTTTGCCTGTCTCTTCCTCTCCTTGGGTCTCCCTATTCTCTCAGACACAACAATATTGGTATTAGGCCAATTAATAACCTTATAATGGCCTCTAAGCATTCAAGTGAAAGGAAGAGTTGCAGGCCTCTCACTTTAAGTCAAAAGCTAGAAATGATTAAGCTTAGTGAGGATGGTGCATCAAAAGCTGAGATAGGCTGAAAGCACTTACACCAAACAGTTGGCCAAGTTGTGAATGCAAAGAAAAAGTTCTTGAAGGAAATTAAAAGTGCTACTCCAATGAACACGCAAATGATAAGAAAGAGGAACAGCCTTACTGCTGATATGGAGAAAGTTTTAGTGTCTGGAAGGCAGATCAAACCAGACACATTCCCTTAAGCCAAAGCCAAATCCAGAGCAAGGCTCTAACTCTCTTCAATTACATGAAGCCTGAGAGAGGTGAGGAAGCTGAAGAAAAATGTGAAGCTAGCAGAGGTTGGTTCATGAGCTTGAAGGAAAGAAGCCGTCTCCATCACATGAGTGCAAGGTGAAGCAGCAAGGGCTGATGTAGAAGCTGCAGCAAGTTATCCTGAAGATCTAGCTAAGATAATGAAGGTGGCTACACTAAACAACAGATTTTCAGTGTAGACAAAACAGCCTTATTTTGGAAGAAGATGCCATCTAGGACTTTCACAGCTAAAGAAAAGTCAACGCTTGGCTTCAAAGCTTCAAAGGACAGGCTGACTCTCTTGTTAGAGGCCAGTGGAGATGGTGATTTGAATCTGAAGCCAGTGCTCACTTACCATTCCCCAAAACCTAGGGTCCTTAAGAATTATGCTAGAACTACTCTGCCTATGCTCTATAAATGGAACAAAGCTTGGATGACAGCACACCTGTTGACAACATGGTTTACTGAATATTTTAAGCTGACTCTTGAGACCAATTGCTCAGGAAAAAAAAAGATTCCTTTCAAAATATTACTGCTCATTGACAAGGCACCTGCCTATCCAAGACCTCTGATGGGGATGTAAAACAAGATTAATATTGTTTTCATAACTATTAACACAACATTCATTCTGCAGCTCACAGATGAGGAGTCATT